GTCTGGACAAAGATCCAGTTGAGACAGTGGTTAAGTGGGCTTCCTGTTGTTCTAGAAGACCTCAGTTCAGTTTCCAGTACCCACATTAGGCAACCCACAGGAAATCCAATACCCTCTTCTGGTCTTTGTAGGCATACACCCACCCACCCACACCCACACCCACACCCACACACACTCAAACCCACCCCCCACACAAATAAATATTTCAAATGACAAATTTTGCTAATTAGGAAGAAATACACAGTGCCTAGTGCCTTGAGATCCCTCTAACAAATGTATAGAGCATCCAGTCTGCAGGGCTGTTGGGCATCAGAGCCATCAACAGGCAGGGGTGCTCATTTCCTTTCCAGACTCAGATGCCTAAAACCTTTCACTGATCACATAAAATAAGTGAACTAAAGTCTATGAGTTTCAGGCCCATTTGGAAGACTCCAGAACTTGCTAACAATTTTTGATATGACAATCTAATTTTCCTGGCTGTTCGCATCCACCCCCCTCTTTCCAGGCTCAATGGACTTCTTTCTTTTTCAACCACTTATGCTTCTAGGATTTAAGAAGTTTTAGAACTGTGGATCTAGAATGAGATTTGAGAAAATACAACCTTCATTTCCCTCCCACTGCAGGTTGGCCTCCTCGAGACCACTGATAAGATTGGGGTATGATGCCTCTCTTCCCTAAAAAAGCTGGAAGGTGTGATGGCAGGAGAGCCCTGTGTCTGTGAAGTGATTACAATATTGTACTTACCTGGCCATCTCTGTATCTTTTGGCCCATGGCTTCCTATCCAAAGTGCCTGCTTAAGTGCACCCAATTGTAACCAAATGCCCACTTCTGTGTGTGAGCATCTCTGCTATATCTCTGTGTGTAGAGTAACCTCCTGCATTCAGACTTATAAACAAAGCAAAGTCAAAACAATAAGCTCTGAGAGTTCATTTGTGTTTGATGGCCCTGTCTCAATGCTACAACAACAGCACCATCAACCTGTCACTGTTCTGTAGCATTTGCCCCCAAATGCCATCCAGGTCCACACCTGCGCAACCACCATGGGCATTGTGAGTCACTCTGTCTGCCACCACAGAAAAAGCTAATTTCACATTCAGAGTGTATGTTTTTTTTTTTTTTTTTTTCTTTCAATACCAATAGCAACAAGAGTGTGCCAAAAAATTCCCCCTGAAGCTCTATTCTGTTTTTTAAACTGCAGAACATTCTTTCATAGTTTGACAGTTAAAATGCTGCAGTTAATGTAATAAACAGAGAATTTTTCTAAGTAGCCTGTCAAAACAAGTGACACTTTTTTTTTTAAAGCTAGAGAGTCTCAGCCATGGAACAATGGGAAGTACCTTTCAAAGCAACATCTTCATTATACAATCAAATTCTCAAAGTAATCTTCTCATCAAAGAATATTGTGTTATTTCTTTCCCAGTAATTATCAGAGTTCTGCAACCTCGATGGCAGTGGCGACTGTTATGAATGCAGCTGTGCTGAGTTCACAAACCAGGGTCTCGGCCCAGCTGACGTGGAGCCAATGCATGCCATGGCTCTGCACTTTTCAGTGACTCGGCAATTTGGGTCGTAAGGAGCCAAATACCCCAGGACCTATGGACATAGCCTCAGTCCGTTCCTCAAGAACAGAAGTCCCTTCAAGAACAGGCGTGGTGCCAGGTGCCAGTGATTCTTGACCAAATCGGCTCCTTTCCTTTCCTCTTAAATAGAATTAATTTTCTAGTAATCTTCAGATTACTAAAAATTTAAAAACAACTAACCAAAAATCAGGGTGGTGGGGTAAAGCCCCCCCCCTGTGTGTGTATGTAACTTGAGTGTCTATCTCACGAAATTAGGTTCCTTATATTTCACTTTCCCATCCCCAATGATTGCCAAATTAAAAACAAAACAAAACAAAAAAACCCCAAAAAACCAAAAACACTAGGAAGATGGAAAGAAAAATCTCCAAATGATTTATCTTGGAATATCAGTGGATCTTTATTTTCTTGGGTTTTTTTTTTTTTTTTTTTTTTTTTTTTTTTTTTTTTTTTTTTTTTTTTGTTTTTGTTTTTTGAGACAAACTGGTCTTAAACTTGTCATGTTGCCCAAGATAGCCTCAAACTCCACATATTCCTGCCCCAGCCTCTTGAGTGCTCAGATCCCAGGCCTGAGCCGCAAAACCAACTGAAAACCTGCTTTCAATAGCCAGAAGCCAACTGCAGTCAAGCTTGGGAAATGAATTTTCTCTGAAGATTTGGGTTTCTAGACTTGTAATTTTTTGTCTCGTGGAAGAAACTAGAAGCAGCGCCATCTCTCTTTGGGGGTGTTGGGAAGTGAACCTATAACTTCACCCACACATGCTAGACAAGCCAGAGGTTGCGCCTGCTCCACCCAAACCCAGGAGATCTCATTTCTATGGATGACTCCCGAAACCTACCCAAGACGTCTGGAGTACACAGCACGTGCTCACTCAATAAATGTCTATCCCGTTTGAATATAATTTGGGAGTGCATCCCTCGTTGGATTACAAACTCACCAAAGGTAGTGAGTTTACTCTTTTTACATTTTAATCCACTTGGTAAGTGCTTGAAAATGCTAGTAAATTCAGTGGCAAGGAAGAGCTGAGGGAGGGATGGCAGGGGCTATGAACTCACTCACTCGCTTGAAATCACTTATTGATGGCTTCCTTATTGGGGACTGTGGTAGTTTGAAAGAAAACAGCCCCCATAGGGAGTGGCGCTGTCAGGAGTTATGGCTTTGTTAGATTAAGTGTGTGTGTCACTGTGGGGTGGACTTTGAAGTCTCCTATGCTCAAGCTATGCCCAGTGACACAGTGCATTTCCTGTTGCCTGGGGATCAAGATGCAGGACTCTCAGCTCCTTCTCTAGCACCATGTGTGCCTGCATGATGACAGTTTACACCATGATGACAACAGACTAAACCTCTGAAACTGTAAGACATCCCAATTAGATGTTTTCCTTTTTAAGAGTTGCGGTGGTCATTGTATCTTCTCACATTAATAGAAACCCTAACTAAGACAGGGACATAGCCTGACTATTTCACACGAGGGAACCCCCACTTCCAGTATAGAATGCTAACACAGGCTTCCTTGTCCATTATAGGATGTAGTACAGCCCCAATTGAATCATTGCTCCAGGGTTTTGAGCTGTCTTCTGCCCACACAGAGCTCCAGAAAGAAGGAACACCCTCATGTCCCTGCTTAACTCAACTCCACAGCACTCAGAACAGCTAGGTGGTCAATAAGGGCTGGTGAATACGAGGTTAATGTGAAAAACTGGGCATCATGTGATTGCCTTTTACACACTCCCGGTTTTTAGCTGCTTCTCAGTAGGCGAGAGCTGTTTGCAGGGTTCCTTGACATTGAATGCCTCTAGTATCCTTTGGTCTTTACCTCTGCCCAGTGGATGCCAAAAGCCTCTGTGTCCACTTGTGTTCCGACAACCCAAACATCCCCATGTGTTTCCTAATGCCTCAGGGTCTGTCTCCGCCTGACTCAGAACCACAACATGATGGTGGCTCGAATGGACATGACAGCAAGGTAAACAGCGAAAAGGGGAAACGATGACGGACAGGTGATGGATGAATGGGTCAAGAGGAAGGGAGACAGTGCGGCTGGAGAGAAAACAGGGTGTCTGGTGGCATTATTCATTTGATTTCCACAGCCCTGAGAAATTCGTGTGCCCCCAGCCACCCTCCCTGTGATCCCTCAAGGCAGACAGAGTGAAAATTGGCTGGGCAGGCTCCTTGGACCCTACTCCTGCTTAGGTTAGTGAAGCTCTCTGGCTTTCCTATTTGATATTTTGGATTCTTCTATTAAATTTCCGTTTGAAGAAAGAGTATTGAGGCTGAAAGAGCTGAAAACCATGGTTCTAGAGTTAAGGATGATAGTACCAGCTGGGACGAGGGAAAGGCCTTTGAAATGCTCTGTGTGGGAGATTAAGCCCCAAGAGAGAGTTTGGACAAAGGGGACATGGCGTGACAAAAATGACATGTGTTGAAAAACCCATGCTGCCTGGAGTATGGGCCAGTGAAAGGGAAAGAATCCTGGGGGGAGGACATAAAGCTACGCTCAGAGGCTATTGTGAACTGGTCCAAGGGGCAGATGCTGGGGAAGTCAGCCTGAGGGACAACACTCTCTTGGAAAGTGCCCAGTGGACATAGCAGACAAAACTGAATGTTCTCACAGAGACCTGATAATAAAGGAAGGTCAGCTGAGCCAATGGCTCAGGGTTGACCTCCATAGCTGCCTGGCACTGGTTGTTCAGTGGACAGAGGTTTCATTTCCAGCATGGAGATAGAAGCCTGTGTGTGGGGCTTCCAAATCAAGTGCGAAGCCATTGCAACTGCAAAGGTTTCCTGATGACTGAGAAAGAAGGGGGTGGCCATGTGATTTGCATGCCATGGAGCAGTTATTGGAATGTCTGGAATCTAACAGGAGCCTGACACTCTTTTCTCCCTTAGTGTCTCAAGGTTGTCACCATCAGATTGTGGTTAGCTGTGGCAGACAAGGGGGTTTCCAGCTGCCTCATTGACTGAATGGGAGCCTTGAAAGTGTTACCAAAAGAATGAATGAATAAATGTATGTATGTATGTATGTATGTATGTATGTATGTATGTATGTATGTAACACAGGCATGGGAGCTTTGCTTCTGAGGACATTTGCCCTCTATCACTGTGAGGAAAGGGGCTGCCTCAGTCTGTCGTAGAAGCAGAACAGTTGCTGTTTGCCATTGGCCAAAGATCAATTAATACAGGCACGCTGGTTTGGTAACCTGAGGCACCTGCTAAAGATCTATAGTTTAAACCCACGTGAGTGGAAAGTGGAGTTGGGGGGGGTGTCAAAGTTTAAAACACAATAAAGACAAACATCATTGCAGTTTCACCCCTTAGTCATCGCTACTCTGACTTGAGGGAAGGCCTGGCCTTTTGCCAACAGTCTTGCACCCCTCCCCAGATGTGCCAGCAGCAGCCTGGGACAGCCAGATGAGCTCTCACTTACGGTTTGCGCAGGATCATCCTCATGTGGGCATCAGGGCCCATCTGTGACAGCAGCAGCATGGTGTCCTGGAGTTCCTCATCACACTCCTTCTTCTCTTCCTCAGTAGGCAAAGGGGCACCCTCATGGTCGTCATCCAGAAATCGATAAAATAAATATTTGTCTTGGAAATGGCGTTCCTGGTCCACTGCGGGGAACATAGAGGCAAGGGTCAGCCAGGGCTTGAAGCTGTGCCCCACAGCTCTCTGGCAGAAGGGCAGGGTTGGAGTCCTTCGAACTCCACCTCACTCAGGCAGGGCAGCCAGCAGCCAAGCCATCCCATCTGCAGTCATTCGAGCCACAGCCTCCTGGACCCACCCGATTTCGCCTCCCAGGACCTCCTCTGAGCACCTGCCAGCTTTTATGGAATGAGCGCACAACGCCTTAGTGGCATTTTCTACAGTGTGGGGTATGTGCCCCAAGCTGGTAAACTCACTGTCAGAGCATGCTTGCAGAATGGTTTTGGGAGTGTACAGTCTTACAAGAGGCCTTCCTTTGGGAGGTCAGAATTTAGGCTTTTCTTGCTATAGTGCACCCATCAGACACACTTCTCTCCCCACTTGGAGAAAAAAAAAAAAGTTTACAAGAGCACAACAGACCCAATCAGAGTTGGCTTCTAGGCCAACTCCTTGAAGGAATTTGAGGCCATTTTTTTTCCAGTTTCTGTTTTCAGAAAGCTATTTCTTCCCTTTTTTTTTGGGCAAAGCTTGGGGACTCAAATTCAGGAACTCACACATACTAACCAAGTGATCAACAAGATTTAGGGCTTAGATAGAAAAGGAAGGTAACCTGGCTAGAACCCCTCATCTAAATGTCTGAAAGTCATTTAGTCCCTTTATAGCATGGATTGTCAAGGTGTTCAAAAGACAAAGAACAGTGGTAGACCTTGCAGATCCCCACAACAGGGATGGCAGTGGTGGTGGCAACAACATACGGGCACTTAGTGCAAAAAATGAGATGCTTAGAATCCATCCCAGACCTGCAAGTCAGAATCTGCTTTCAACAAGAGCCCCAGGTGATTGGTATGCACAGTAAAGTCTGAGAAACTCTAGCAAAATGACTTTTTCCACGTTCCCAGGTGTTAGGGAATGAAATGGGTGATTTGAATATTTTCATGTTTAGAAAAGTAGTCTTAAACAAGTGGTGTGAGCAGTTCAGTGATAGTCACACACAAGCCCTGAATAGCTCTTCTGTTCAGCAAGAGCTGCCACAGTTACTAGAGATTGCAATTGCAGAGCCCAGCTCTGATTTTAAATATGGTCATCCCGCGGGTATACAAATCGACTCTCCCAGACAGTGGCACAGTTAAAAGGCAGTCTCTGAATTCATTACTTACGTTCACTTCCTCAGCCCGGCCACACATTTCATTGCTCTTTCATTCTGCCCCTGCACGAGGACTGCCATGCAATGCTTGGAGTATAATCACACTATCAATGAACCATGAATGCAAACTAATAAACATAATTGGAGCTGATGCACTCTGGTTGCAATTTCATTTTCCTTTCCTTCATTCTCGGAACTTAGGAAGGTACAATGGTGGAACATAGCAATCAATAGCATCCGCTCACTGCATTTGTATTACTAAATGAAGATGCTAGCTTGGTGGTTCCTTAAGGAGATCATAATTCTTCCTTGCCCATTTGGGAATTCAGCAACAGCTTACCAAGGGACATATATTTCACATGTCTTGAGAATTGTTCCAGAGCCTGTGGCTCATCTTACCGTGATTGAGGACACCGTCTTCCAGCAAGACTTGCCACATGCCAACAGCTTGAGTCCGGGAATGAACACAGGACGTTTGCTGTATCATCCAGTCTACCAGCTCAGTCCCAACACAGCATTGTCTAAAGGAGATGAGACACAGAGGATGGAAATCACCCCTTGGCACAGAGGGTGGGAGAGAGCCTTCAAGGAGAGAACTTTCCAAAGAGTGTGGCACCATAAGAAGAATCAAGGCAAAGAAAGCTTTATAGGGATTATAGCCTTAGGCTCTTGTACCATCTAAGCAGGGTCCTGTAAATAAAACACTAGAACACAGAGCAGCAAGCTGCTCAAAGAGCTGGTAGAGGAAGCATTATCCTTCCTTCTAAGTCTGTCACTGTGAGCTGGTTCTGGAACACCTCAGTGTGAGGGGTGTTGGGAGAAATAAGCAATTAGCAATGTAAATCTCTCCAAAAAGGTTTTATGTAATGCACATTAACATGTTTACAGAATCTGTCATCTAGCAACACCAGATGCTCTCTGTATATTCACTTGTTAGTTCCATAGCTGTCCCCTGTAGTGAGTTGGTCTAGGAAGACAAACTATGTATTAGTTAGGAAATATACAATTACACACTCACATATTAGGAAACTCTGAGAGAGGTGAGAAAATAGAGCAGGTGTTCCTTGTGTGTGTGTGTGTGTGTGTGCGCACGCACAAAAGGGAAAGTGGGGTCTTGAAGTCCTGGGGACAGATCTCAAGGGACAGTGGACTAGGGCAGGGAGGCCCAGAGAGAATGTCTGTGCAGCTGGGCCTGACTCATTGGTTGCCTCCCTTTGCATGCTATGAATGGAAGAGCCTCGGGATGAGCAGAGACTAGGCCAAACCTGAAGAACTCTAGCATAAACTGAAGTAGACTTCTTGTCCTGGACCACTTTGGGAAAAATCTTGAAATGGGAGACGTTATGGGATAGAACAACAGATTTGCTACTCATTAGTTATGTAACTTTGGCCATCTCTCTGGTTCTGTTTCCTTCTCTGTAAGATAAAGGAAGGACAAGTGATGGCCTTGGGGCTTTCTCCAGGTCCAACATTCTAGAATCTCTGAAATCTATCTGAGTTTTTGGTGACCCTGATCCAGGAGGGCTGTGGAGGCCAGCCATACCATCCATCACAGCTTCAGAGGATGAAGAGACACCTACATCTTCAGTCTGAACTAACCAAATAGCTCTGAGCTAAGCATGCAAAACAAACAATTATTTATCTTATAATTTTGTAGTTTATTAGTGGAAAAATATCTTATAAAAGTATAGAAATCAAGTTTATTTGGCTTTTAATTCAATGGTTGCTCATAAAGAAAAATAAAAATAAAAAAGCACACACAACAGAGATGACTCAGAACATTGAGTTTCTAGGAAAGGCATAGGACTTTGGAGCCAGAATACACAACAGGGGCACATAGCAGAGTCCCTAGGTATCCTTTCCACTAAATGACACCCACACTTCAGAACTATCAGCCACTCTAGCATAGTAGTCGTTGGGATGATTCTGAAGCTAGAGGGGCCTCAACTCTTATACTAAAACAGTCATAAAATGGGGTAAAGAACAGGATGGAGTTTGCCAGAACAGATCTGGGGCAAGAACTCAAATGGCTGCAGAAGAAGTCATGTCCATGGCTTCCAGTGGAGTCCTCCGGTCATCATCAACAGATCATTAATTTGTGTCATAGGGCGTGGAACAGACATAACACCTCCATGTCAGGGGTTTAAGTCTCAGCAGGATGGCACAAGGAAGGGACCAGTCTCTGACCTCCAGTTTCCAGTATTTGTCACCAAACATGACATATTTAATGGAATTTCCCCAACAGGAGTCAATAGTTGGGAGAGCATACTCACATCTTAAGGGGGGAAAAAAAGATTAAAACATTCAAAGAAAAAGGTCTTTCCAGCCTTGTGAGAGTTTAAGGTCCATTTAAATCTAAAGAGCCAAAGGGCTAAAGGGGCTGAACTCTGGGGATATGTAGCACATGTGTTTTAGTTTTAGTTGGCCTTGTTTTAAATCTTGACTTCCCTTAGAACCATAAGGGTGTGCATGAGCCACAGATTCCAGACAAATTAATTTCCAGGGTTGCAGAACAAGACTTACAGATGTCATCGACTTACAGACTCTGAAAATAGCTAATGAAAATATGCTGTGGGCATCTGGCTTGGTGGGGAAGGATACCTACCACACAAGCATGAGGGCCTTAGTTTGCATTCCCAGGCACATGCCTGTCACTCTAGTGCTGTAAGAGGAAAAGAGAGGGGGTCCTGGGGGCTTGCTGGTTGCCAGCCTAGCTCCAGGTTTAGTGAGAGACCTTGCCTCACAGGAGTAAGATGGACAGTGATAGAGCAGGTCACCTAATGTCCTCCTCTGGCTTCAGCAAGTTTACACCTACCACTCTGGGTTAAGTATTTCACTAACATAAAACTTTACCAGAAAACAAATGCCATAAAAGACTCCCTATATTTTGTCCACATCTATATCCTCAGAGCTTGTAACACTATGACTTGAAAAGAAATCACTGAATTTAAACCATGAATTGGTTTAAATCTTGCTTGTGTGCTCACTAGACATATGGCTTAGTGAAGGGAACCATTTGACCTTTTTGCCCTGGGTCAGTTTTGTCATCTGAGAAAGGAATACACCCCTGGACATGCCTTTCTAGCAGGGATGTGGTGGAGATAAACTGGGATCACATGTGGGAAGTGGCCTGGTTTCATCATTGGGGCATCTGTAAGAACTGTGTGGATGCTAGCTGAACGTAGCAGGTCTACTGAAAGGTGCCTGCAAACAAACACAAGGGTTTCTCCTCTTTGTTCATGCCTGCACACATTAGCCTGTGACACTGAGGCTAAGTCAAGTTTAGGCTGGAACCTGGCGGTCCTATAACAGAGGCTATTTGTCCCATTTCCCTAAAACGCTCACTGGAGGGGCCAAGCTTTAGAACAAGCAAACATACCTGTATGTCTTTAGGTGATATTTTCTGTCTCTTATCATGTGGGGTGCTCGAGAGAGAATGGCAATTCGTAAAATTTTTCCAGCTCTGAGGATCTTCTCTGAAGGGACCTGGATTTTAATCAGATGGGAGGAGGAGAGAGGAAAGGAGAGTTTATGAAAGGGAAATAGACTCAGTGAATTCTTACACCACTTTCTAATCAGAGTCTGCATAGAAAAACATAACTCACTCATACATATTTACATTGTTCACTCGTGTGACATGTCACTGTTTTATGTCGAGAACTGAGACATGCTGCATATTTATTGACTCTAGGAAGTGGACGTGAGGGGCCTTGACATGATGCTCTGACACAGTTACCACCTCCAGTGGTACTTAAGAAGCGAGCTTGGATGGCTCATCAACCCACCTACATCCCATTACCTTGGTAATGGTGTTAGCAGGACGGAGAGGAACGTGAGGTTCAATGAGAGGTGTCTGAAAAATAAAATGTTAAAGCAAAAGAAAATTAAACAAAAAATTCAGTAAAGAAAATTATGGGTTGAGGATAATAAGAAACACCAATTTTTACGAAACTCAAAATAGAATTTTAAAAGAAAGAGAGAGAAGCTGCCTAAAGAACTTGAATGCACAGGCATTCAAAGGGCAAAATTTGGATCATTCAGTTTGCCAACATTTAAATATAAATTGTCTTTTTAAAAAATGAAAAAAGAAAAGAACCAAACAGGAATGATTCGATGTTTGTAGGCTTAATGAGAAGGGGAAAGGCAGCTGGTCGAAGCCTAACAAACATCAGGACAGGGAAGAAAGTAAGTAAGGTAAACAGTCAGAGGTTACAGTGACCTGCCCTGGGCTGTGGATAAAGTATTGATTAGGGGTGGGAATGACCATTCCCATTCCCTGTGCTCTTGTGTAGTTAAGACTCTTTCTCTGCAGTGCTTGGTTTGTTTGTTTGTTTGTTGTTATCTTTACATGTAGCTTCCTGCAATCAAGCTCCTAGGACCCAAGGGAAGCTGCTGGTATGCTTATCTTTTTCTGAACAAACTGTGCAGCCTTCAAGAGTCTATGTCAGTCAAACTAGCTCCAGGACCTAGACATCTTCATATGAAATACATCCTGCTAATAGATGGGATGTAACCGAATCTACAGAGGAGTCTACAAAATGGAATCGCTAACCTTTATCTCACACATCTGGCAATGGCCTTTGTAAGTATGTCTAGTCAAAGGTGGTGTGGAAGAGACATGGTTACAATGCTGTTTGTGACACTTTCAGATAGCATGATTTGATTTGATTTGATTTCTTTGAGGCTTTGGTAGGCTGGAGCTCCTTACCTACATTCCCCAAAGATGTACACATCTTTATCCCCAGAACCTATGCATACTAGGTTACCTAGCAATAGAATGATGTGGGTGTGTTTAGGGATCAAAATGTGTAGACTAGCCTGGTGTTCCTGGGTGGTTGTGTTATAAAATATAAGAGCAGAAGCCTGAATGTCAGCACCAGACAGCAGAAGAGGAGAAGTCACAACTCAGGGACCTTAAATATGGAAAAGGCCAAGACCCAGGAATGCAGAAGCCTCTCCAGGGGAACAGACAAGAAGAAGAAGAAGAAGAAAAAGAACCCATCTTGAGCCTCAAAAGGCAGCATGAACCTGCCGAGCCTCCATTTTAACCCAGAGGCTCACACTGGAGGTCTGGACCATAGTATGAGCTCATTGATTTGATTATCTCTATCTACCCAGTGAGTGGAGGTTTGTTATGGCAGTTACCAAACACTGACATAGAGTATAACACTTCATATCAACACCTTCCTGCCTTTGCAAATGAGAGTTAATTACAGTGAAAATACGTTGGTGAGTTCATCTCTACTTCTCATTTAAAACATGTAACCATGGAGGGAGGTGAAGGTCACTACTGGTTTTAAGAAATTCTTTAAACTTCAATGTGAATATACACAAATAAACATTATATTTGCCTTTTATCAGTGGCAAATTTCAGGTGGGTTGGTGCTTTTAACGTTGTAACAGAGTTAAAGGGGGGAATAAATCCTAAACTTTAAAAGCCAGCAGAGATGAGACACAGCTCTATTTAGAATGACTGTGTCTCCTTGAACTTACCGATTTCATCATTTTTCTTCACGTGACTGGCATCCAGCAGACCTCACCCACTGAAAGGGATGGTGTATGGGCGGGCAGCATACCACTTAGAACAAGCACACCACAAGACCAAAGGGTGTCAATGTGGTCCAATTCAAAATGGTGTGCCCTGACAGCTCCTGTGTTCTTTATAGTGGACCTGCTGATGGGTGAGGGGCTGTGAGACTGCAGAACTCCTGTACTTAACCCAGACCATTGGCCCGTCAGGAAAACAGTGCTATTGTACATCAGGTCCCTGGAAACACACAGCTAAAGCTGGCTGTGCACCTCCCAGTTATGAACTTCAGCTCCAGCGATCCTGTCCCTTCAATACACAGGTGGCATCATACATTCACGAGGCTTCCTGGTTATGGATCTCACTGTAAAAGCTTCTGGTTGTTCTAGAAAGTGATGCTAGAAACACCCCTTCTTCCTGTTCTGGAAGAAGAGGTCTAGAGCAGACAGAGGTGGGGTTTGTTTTCTGGGCTGCCCCCTCCCCATGAAAAGCTGATGCTTCTTTCCAGTTTGTCTGGAGAAAGCTGGCTAAGCTGGAAGTCAAGGAAAGCTGATAAACACTTTTTCCTTTTGTTCTTGATGAGCTCAGTGTGACTATTGGAAGAGTATATATATTTTAGTTGCTTCTACTATATTATAACAAAATGCTAACAAGTGGTACTTAGCTTAGTTTATCTTGTTCAATGATTTTTTTTTTTTTTTTTTGGTCCATGGAGCCTTGAAAAGGAGGCATTACTAAAACAAGGTGATGCATCAGGCTTCCATCAAAACTCTGCCTTTGATATGTGACTTCTAGAAGCACAGAATGTACACAAGGTACTCTCAGTGAGATAATCCTAGTGCCAGCTCCAGGCCAGGAGGCTGTTTCATCTGTTGAAAAGCAACCCTCTCAAAACCTTCTGACCTCAGACATGTTGGTTTGAGGTAGCACCATGGACGTGTGCTTTGAGGAGGAGGGGCTGTCCCTGTATTTAAATAGAGCCCGTGCGGGACACATGCAGGGGAAGCAGGGAAAGTGTTCGCTTCAGGGAACAGGACTGACTTTGAAGGGAATATTACATTTACGCAGAAGGTCTGAGTAAGGGCCAGTGCCTGGAAGTGATTGCCGATATAGACAGACTTGAGGCAGCCCGAGAAACCATCAGCAGCCAAGGCCTGGTTGGGGACCCCTATGTGACCATCACCACCATCACTACCACCACAGCCTCTGCCACCACATTACCCCTTTTCTTCTAGAAATGTCTTGGCTGTTGTGTTGGAAGAATTTGTATTTTGTTTGATTGAAGTTCACTGAAAGGGTTCAACATGCTGCTCAGCCCTTCCAGGCCAGGTGTCAGATTTGGTCGAAAGAATTTTTCAGCAATAAATTATCATTTTTACTAAATGAGACCATTCCCATTGGTAGTACGCAGCACGCTTAGTCAAAATTAATTTTTAAAAAGCAACTGTATAAGAATGAGACATTTACATGGAGGAACTGTTCCCTCCCGGGAACATAAATGTGCCAGAAGGGTGAAGGCCACCCGGGAGAATAGAAACCACTTGGAGACCTGATCGGGGAGGGACTTCTCTGCTGAGGAAGAAGGGGAAGCTACCAGGGCTTGACCCACGTGCCCCGGAAGGTTCTGGGACTTGGAGGGCAGTCTATCCACTGCCAGGAGGATATCCCCACCACCCCATTCCCCCTCTGGTCAGAAACTAGAGAAGTGAGGGCGTCACTTCATTATATCAATGATTAGGCGAAACAGGAGCGAGAGGAACAACAATAGAGCGATACTAGTGAGAACCAAAGCAAGAAAACCAACCTGAAGGACAGGGAGCCAGGACACATGCCTCCAGAGGCCGGCCCCTGTGAGACCTCGGAAAGGCCAGCCCTACAAGGTGGCCACAGCAGCCATAGACTTGGGCAGAACAGAGCCTCACCATGCGGTACCTCAGCCCTCCCACCTGCTTGCCGGCCTACACCCTCCAGGCACATTTCCTGTTGGATAGCAAAGAGGAAGGCAGATGGGAAGCCAGTACAGCACAGGGGCCTCATTAATGATGGCTTGGTTTATGTCCAAGAGCTCCCCTCTGCTTTGACCTGCAGCTAGAATGCGTATAGCACAAGGAGCTGGCTGGGCAAGCTCTGCGCCCTCTCTGATTAAATTGCATACATTTCAACACATTCGCATGTGTTGATAGAAATTCCTGTGGGCACGAAAGAGTCCAAACCAGGCTGTGAACATGTGATCCTCAAAGGCAGGCAGGAAGGACAGATAAGGGCAGAAGCCTCCAGCATTTTCTTGGCTGTCTCCCCTGAAGGCTTCCCTCAGGATTAACCATAATTGGTTTTTGTTTGTCTTAGGGAAGGGGCTTCTCTTTCAGCTGCTTTCTATTATGTTTCTATTACCAGTGAAAGGGGAAAACAGTGAGAGAGAAAAAAAAATATTCCTTTTGGCATCTGAGCCAATTCAGAAATCCTAATCGGGTGATGGAAAATATGAATTTACCTTCCATTACAAGGTGCACAATAAACCCCAAGTAGATATAATGAGGTAGATGAGGCCCTGTAATAGGCCTCACGAAAAATCATATTCAGACCCCTTTGAAAACAGGGTGATTCTTTTTAGTCAAGTGTTTGTTCACAGGAGCCTTTTGCAAGGCACACATCTTAAGCCAAGAGACAAGAATAACAAGCAAGAACGGGGACTCAGAGCTCAGAGAGGATGCTGGCAATCCAGGGCAATAAAAAGTCATGGCAGTCTCATCCGATCCGTGGAGTTAATGAAGGCCTATGGTGTGCAAAGCAATGGGCAAGGCTAAACTGAGGGTTAGGATGAAGAAAGTGCCTGATTTAAATGAGCCCTTGAACTTTCCATGGGTCCATGGTCAGCAAGTGCACTTGAGACCCCAAATAAATGCTACAGCGTCATGGCTTTCAAGTCCCATCGCTTTTCTCATTTCTGATGAGCAAGGGAGGACATTCAATTTCTTAGTGAAAATGACATACTTCTAGGAGTTTCAATATTTTGGCATAACGCAGCTAAGTCTTTGAAATGGTTGCCTCGTTCTCGTCATTACCTCAAGGTTATCACTCTGGTGCTGGACAGATGAAATACAGTTCACATAGGCAGACTCCACGGCTCTGGAATAACTAAGCTTTCCCATTCGTGAAATCATGGGAACACCATTTCTAGGCTCCTTCGGGGTCTCTCTGTGAGGCTGTCTTCCTGTACAACTTTCCTAGTTCAAAACTGGCTTACAGAGAGATGTGCTAAGGCTAGGAGCTTGGAAGGCTGAGCAAAATGAAAATAACTTCTCTGGGGTGCATCAGAGAACAGAAGA